AGCTTATTAATTGTGAAAATGACATTCAAAATATCTCAGCTCCTTTTGCCTGTAATCTCTTAAGGTATCTTCTAAATTCACCCCTTTCCACAGAAGGGCCACTTTCATTCCTGCTTCTTCACTTGGCTTCCTATTTTTGACCTACTTGGACATTTTGTCTATTCTTCATTTTAGTTACTTTTCATGTGGGAATCTCAATGCCAACTTTTTATCATGCTCTTTCTATTGGGCCACCAGTTTATGAGTGAGGTAGATTAAATAAATACGAATGTAGCTATAGCAAAGAAAGCCAAGCATACTACATAACTCAAACTGAGGCTCTGCAAATCAAACAAGCCTTACTGTTTGAGGTCATAACTTAGAGAATATTCAAAACAAAAATCAGGCAGAGTCAATTTATGCTGTCATTTTGTTTCAGAGTAAGCACTGTGCAAATTCCAGCCGAGCATATTCATCTAAATTTAAGATTTTAAGAATTGACAGAGACCATCAATTCATTCTTGCTGTAGACTCAAAATATTCCTGTTGACATCCTGAAATGTGTTCACTTTCAGTATCTCTTGGAGGTTACTAGAGAAAAAACAATGTGCCTACAAGCTTTTAATAGAACACAGTGTATACTGTCAGCTATATCCACGAATTAGGCACGGGTGTCTCAGATCAGCAATTTGCTTTAGCTTTGCTCCTGACTCACAAGAATGTTAAGCACTCCAAGGGATTAAATTCTAGTCCTTTGGGGTTCTGTACACAAATAGGCTGATTTGGTCTAGTAATCAAATGAGATTTGCTTTACAAGAAAATGTGGGGAACAATTACTGAAACGAAACACAAATTGAAAGAGAAGTTGGTTGCTGAGCTAAAATGAGTGCCCTTGTTAAGTCTGAGAACAAAGTTGAAGGCCACCAAAATATACCATCCACTGTGAGTGAGGCACATATCTGCATGGTTCTAGAAGGATGTCCTAAAATACTGTTCTTAAATGTTAAATATTTTATGAAGTGCACTGATTTAAGCTAATTTGAATTCTTATTTTACTACCCTGCGTATAAGAATGATTTTGAATCAACTAAGTATCGCAGAATTCTTTAGAACAATTTGTGTGTAAAAGAAATAATAATGAACTCTACCAAACAGGAAAAGCGGCAAATACACACACACAATTGCTACTTCCGGAAGTTTGTGCTTTTAATTTTATTTCCCTATCTAGAAATTCTCAGAGGAAGAGATTACATGTCTCTCTTACCCAGAAGGTAGATAATTAAATATTAACTCAGTACATGAATTAGCTTAGAGTAATTAGCTCACACTAATGGGTTAATAAAACAATATAATACTTATTGAAATGTAGTTTTCAAAGACAATGAAAGGACAAATTAGCCTATTTCATCCTTATGGAGTTTGGATGATACTTCACTCCCATGACCCACCCCAGATCTCCTCTCTCTCGTCTCTATTTCATTTTGCTCCCCTGACACATCTGAGCAGGGAAAACTCAGGCCTTTGAACTCCAAGACCCACATTGCCTTCCGTCCCCACTCCTTCCCATTTCTTGGCCATTTGGAGTGATTCTGAGGCATGCAGTGGCTACTCCGGGATCTTTAGCTTGTATACAGCATGCTCTGGCAGATCTCAGCCTTCAGAAGCATAGCAGACAGCTCCCTAATGAAAAAGTCTGTATCTATACATCTCTTTTTATTGTGAAGTTCCTTCTTCCTGGAAAGTTCTAATACACTAAGCTGAATTGTGTTAGGTACATTGAAGAAATTTTGTTTCTGTTTGCATATAGAGATTCCTTTGACCTAGCCATTAAATAAGAGAAAAAATAAAATATTATTAATAAAATATAATCATATGCTTAAAAGATTAAATAAAATGTCATATTGCAATAAAATAACAAGGAAATAACTAAGCACTTGCAATATTGGTAGTATGCATTGATTTTCAATGATTAAGAAAATATGACAGAGAAAAACTGATCTAGATATTTATACTGGCTGAAAAAGAAACACACATGTGTATGTATATACACGGACAGACATTTCTTTTGTCTTATTAATTTTAGAACGACTGAGGTAACTAAGAGTAGAAAGACAAGTTTCTCATACTCTCACCTATCTGAGGTTCTTGGCTCCAAATACTGATATGTAAGTTAATAACTTAGAATAACTACAGAAACCAGAAATTTCAAATGGGACCATTGTGAGGTGGGGAGCAACAGAAAGGAGACTAGAAGGGCACAAGTGATCTGATTGATCTGGCCAGAAAAAATGGGCAAAAAGGTGCACCCTAATAAAGGAGGGGATAGTGGATAAATCCAAAAGAAGGGGAAAAGAAGGTAAATTAATGATAAACTCTGTAAAATTAATGTCTGTAAAAGTCATAAAAAATCAGAGTATTAGCTATCTATCTAAAAATACCTAAGATACCTATAGTATACATAAGTCAGTATATAAATATATACAGAGATAGATAGTTTAAATGAAATATCGCAATTTGGGATGACAGTGCTCCCTCCCTCTAAGATCATGAATAAGGACTATGTAAAAAAAAAAACAAAACCAACACCAGGCATGAGAGGTTCTCTTTTAGTTGTTGATTAGAGTACTCATAGAGAATCTCAAAACATTGTAGGCTAAGGCTAATGCCCAAAAGTTTTGATTCTACTCCCCTCCCCCGAAGATGGCAGGTATGCTCCTCCTGCTGAAGATAGCATGCACTTCAGAAAAACAATACATACTTTTCTGATCTGAAGTTAACATGAAAACACCCTCTTGAGGGACAAGGTCTCAGGGTACCAAAAAGCATCATGTCATCTTTAAAGGCAGCTGTCCTCAAACTTCCAAATGCTGCCACACTTTAATACTGTTTCACATGCTGTGGTGGACCCCAACCACAGAATTATTTTCATTTATGTTTTATAACTGTAATTTTGGTGCTGTTTTGAGTTGTAATATAAATATCTGTGCTTTCTGATGGTGTTGAGCAACTCCTGTGAAGGGTCTGTATAACCCCAAAGGGGGTTATGAACCATAGGTTGAGAACTATTGTTCTAAAGGAAAGAAGCAATCAATGGTCCTACCCAATTATGATACCAATGAACAACATTGAATAGCATGGCATGATAAACCAAGCAGTATAATAATATCATGCATACCTTAAGAGTAACCAATAGCTAATTGTATTTAAAGTCTTAATTTACTTAAGGTATTAAGTATTTAATTTACTTAAGGTCTTCTCAGCAAGTGGGAAATCATTACTGTTACCAGAAGCCTAGCCAGCTAAACAGGGTTAGTAGTTAAACCAAGACATTTAGAAGAGATTCTACAACTGCAATTTTTCTAAACCAGCATCATCCTGAAATACAACTATAACACATCGCCTGTACTTACGGGAGGAAGGTAGAAAATTACGCAAGATTTCATGGAATGGAAAGTTTGCTCTGAGATTGGGTCTTCTTGTTATATCAGAGCTCTGCTCTGTAATTATGAAGTCTCACCTGCCTAAGCCTGACCTGAAAAGGGACATGGGTAGACAAGATAATGAGAAAGGGAGAAACCCCAGAAAGCTCCAATTTTACACACAGAAGTATTGGCAACCCAGGAATGCTGAGAAGAAGAGAAATGGTCTTCCTCAGGGAAGAAACAATTGATGATCTAATTTCAAATGATCAGCCCTGAAAACCTATACATATGAGTATGTTATACAGCCTAAATGTGTTGTTTTGTATTTAATATATTTTATATAACAATGCTATATAAAATATATTACATATTATATAAAATATATATTAAATATGATACATTAAAAAAGAGGCCATAAGACAGCAAGTTTATGGACAGAATTTTTGAAAGGATAGAGAAGGGGGAAAATATGTAATAATACTACAATTTTAAAAAATAATAAAATACATTAGAGTCTCTTATTAACTCTAGGTCTGATTTCTTTGTCTTTTAAGACATTTTCTTGGAAAATGGTGAATTTAATTCAGATCTAAGAAAAAGAAAAATCAACCTGGACTTAAAAGTGGCAGGCAGAAAATGTCCCACAGGAACAAAAAAATAACCTTTAAATATAGACATTGTCATAATAATGTATAATATTAAATTTTTATTCTAGGTTCTTTGTAAGACCGATGTACTGTTTTCTTTTTATGATATAACACTAATAACTTCTAAAAGTCATAACTTGTGAAACAAAATTCTGATTAATTATGATAAAATATTTATGTAAGTACATTCTAAAAATATATGATACATTATTAATGTATATTTTTAATATTTATATATTAATAAATGCTACTTATATTTGTAGCATTTGAAACAATAGAAATTAAAAAACCACTAATATCATAGTATACTTCTACCTTAAGAAAATTTGAAGAGCTAATTAATTTTAATATAAGATGAAGGGTAGAAAAGAAATTGAGAGACAAATCAATGAAATTAAAAATAGGAAAGCAATAAAAAGGAAACATTGATCCTTGAAAGGATAGATAAAATCAGAAAGCTTCTATCCAGAATAATTAATTAAAATAAAAGAGGGGACAAATATCCTATAGATAATACAAATCAGAGAACATCCCTACATTAAAAGCATAATAAAGGAAATTATATACATTGATTATCAATAGCTTAATAAATTAGATGAATTAATACGGTTATTTAGGAAATATAACTTTGACAAGAATATATAAGAAGAAACAAGAAATTTAATAGACATCAATCTACTAAAGAAATTACATCAATAACCAATAATTATAGAAATAGAAATCACTATACCAACATGACTTTACTAGGGTAATCTACAGTGAAATTCAGGAATAAATTAATAAATGACCAATAACTCAGAGTAAGAGAAAGCAGAACACATTCTGATTTATTCTTTACTTGTTGAGCCATCTTACCAGCCTCCACACTTACATTTTATAAACATTTATAAACATTTCTTTTCTCTTCTTTTCTTTATTTATTTTTTGGTTTTTCAAGAAAGAGTTTTTTTGTAGCTTTGGAGCCTGTCCTGAAACTAGTAAAGGAATGTGCCACCACCACCCTGTATTTTATAAACATTTCTTATTGGTATCTTATGCAAAATTTGTCTGTATTATTTAATTAATAATACCATCAATCATTAACATCATATTATTTCTTTGAAGCTGTCTTAGTTACCATTCTGTTCCTGGAAATAAACACCATGACCAAAATAACTTATAAGAGAAAGCATTTAACTGAAGGCTGACTTACAGTTCCAGAGAGTTAGTTCATTATCATCATTTGGAACATGGTAGCAGGCAAGCAGACATGGTGCTGAGCAATAGCTGGGAACTTTACATGCTGATCTGTAGGGTGCAGGCAGAGAGAGACACTGGGCCTTGAGTGGGCTTTTGAAATCTCAAAGTCTACCCACAATGACACATCTCTCTCCACAAGTCCACACTTCCTCTAACAAGACCACACCTCCTACACCTCAAACAGGTACACTCCCTGGTGACTAAACATTAAAATGCTTGAGCCTTGGTGGGCCATTCCCTTTCAAACCACCAGAGTCTGATAAAATACTATCCTCATTTTATAAATTAGGAAACAAAATGGGAACTGTGTCGGAATAGTGTCGACATTGAAAGAATGTTAATTTACAAATTTTACTTGGCGACTTACCTCTATTTGTATTTACCGGTTGTGTCTTCTATTTCTGTTTCTATCAAATTAGCCTATATTTAAATCACCTGGATTTCTTATGAAAATTCAGACTGTGGCTTAGTAGGTCATAGATGGGTTAGATACGCCACATTTAAAAAACCTCCTATAGAGTCTACTTTGGAACGTAAAGCTTTAGATGTTTTCCTTTCCCATTTAGTCATTTCAGTTCATAAAAGGTCTTTAGACAGATTTAATTGTTGTTAAAAATGAAACAGATAATAGGGTATAAATGAACTAAATGAATTTTATAACTACACACATACTCAGTTATTAATAACTTGGACTGAGTTAGGATAGGTGGCTATATTTTTTTTTATTTTGTGACTATAAACCTTAGCTTTATGTTCTATCTTTAGAGATAGGATGCTGCTTTGTTATTTTCCTATATCCTGGAAATATACCCACTGAAACACATGTGATAATTAATACTCTTTGACAATTTGACATCATCTAGAATAATCCAGGAGAGAAATCATTCCTTCTATCCGCAAAGGAAGACATCATCTTTGTCAGGCTTAAGAGCTCTGCTTTCTCTGTCACATGTCACAAAAACTGCTCTGGTTCGTGCCAGGAAAAGTTTTCTATTTCAACGTAGTCTTTTTAAAATATTTTATTATTTGTGTTTGTGTGAATTTTCTTGTCTCCTCTGTCTCATTTCTTCAAGGAGGAGGTGAAGACTATACTTTCAAGGACCATTTCTCTAGTTCCTTAAATGAGGCTGTTGATCTATCTTATAGTACCAGTTAGTTTCAGGTTTAAAGGAAACATGCATAATTTAGTTGCTATTAATTCAGTATGCATTCAGAACTAAGGGAGAGGTTTGGCATATTAAAACAATTTTTTAACAGTAGCCTGACTGTCAACTTGTGACTTCTGATTTTGAGACGAAAAGGCTGGTAGCTGTTCATTCTCTATCCAAGACCTTTCCTTAAGAGCAAAACAGGCATTTGCTGTGATTTTGAAATTACAAACTGTGTGGAAAAGCATGTTTCTCTGGAAAATCCAGTCTACCTTTGAGAATTGAATAAATAGCCCTTGCAAGAACTATCTCACATATACTGTGCCATACAAACTATATATTAAAGGTATTTTCATGTACAGCAATCCGTGGACTCATTGCCCAAGAATAATCAGATTTAGAAAAGTTACTCACTCTACACATGGTTTATTAAGCAGTAGTATTGTGATTCAGTGGCAAAAATATCCTGAGCATTCTTATCATACTTTCATTTTCAGGTTCAAATAATTTTCTAAGCACAAAGTCAGCACCTTGACTTGAATTCTTGTCCTTTCCCATTAAATAGTTGGAAGATACCAAATTCATTCATATCCAAGTTCTTTTGTATCCTGAAGATCTTTCTCTGGTATCAATCGTCTCCTGGGGCTCTTAAATATTCCTGCTTCGAAATTTCCATAGTTTCCTGAGCCCTGAAAGGAGGAACTTGGTGATGATGCTTCATCATCATTGAGGTCTGAGTCTCTCAAAGTCTCTCACTTGCTCCACATTGTCCAGCGTGGGTCTCTGGATTAGTTCCCATTTACTGCAGGAGGAAGCTCTAATGATGACTGAGCAAGCCATTGATCTGTGAATATAGCAGAATGTAGTTAGTAATTATTGTACTTCCATGTTCCTTTTGTAGAACCATAGTTTCTGGCATTCCATTAGGCACATGGTCTATTTAATATCAGGCTTCTGTCCTCTCAAAACAGTCTAAGTCATGGGTTTTATTTCATGGAATGGATTTTAAATCCAATCAGACAGTTGTTGGTATTCCCAGAATGTTTATGTTACTGGTTACCAGCAAACCATGCAGACTGGTTGCCGTTGTAAATCACAGGTTTGTAGAATTTTTGATGTTTTAACTTTCTATTCTGATAGTATATGAAGTACCTTCTAGTACCATGAGCACTCATTAGTAGGATGAAGGTTGAAGGTAGGAACCAGCTCAATGTTTCCTTGTTCACTGAGTTACATAAATCTTCTCTTAGCAATAGAACCTCACCTAAATTTTTAGAGAGCAACCAATAGCCTTTGGTCAAAGTTGTTTCAGGTTTCCACTGAATGTCTTCGGCCAACAACTCAATTAGATGTAATTCATTGCTGACACTGGAAGTTTCACTTGGTGATGAAATATATCTGGTTGTGACACTATCTTTTCTGTTATTTCTTGACCATATTTAGATTTCTTTCATATAATAGAAAGTACTTTATTATGAAACCTCTTGTTGTGGAAGTCTTTATGTTAGTTTTGGGCTAGTGGATTTCAAGGCCTATAATAGCCCAGTTTTCACACTTTTATGATCCCAAAAATATAGTTTCATTACTCAATGACTGTCATTTTCAGTAGTTACACAAGGGTCTAATTAATGCAATTTACAAAATGAATTTTAAAGAGCAATGTTCAAAATAAAAGTGATATTTTAAAAAAATGACTCACTAGTAAAATGCTAGAAAGCAATTTCCCTTGCCTTTAATGATCTCTAAAGTTATCCACAATTATTAATGTAAAAATCTGTTCATAACAGTAAAATGCCCAAAATATAGTTTCACCAAAAAAGTTGTATATTTCACTACTTATGCTAAAAATAAGAAAATAGAGACTGTATTATTCAGAGATGATTAAGAATGATAGAGATCAATTTCTAGCATTTTGCTATGGAATAACTTTTTGAAATACAACTTTTAACATACCTCCTTGGAATTTTTTGTTGGTGGTCAGTATTTATTTCAAGTTGTATCACACTCTAATTTTAAACAGTAGCCCCATCACTGACATCCAGTAATAATCTTTGCCTGGTTATATGCATGGATCTATAACAACTTGTTTGATGATCTTAATGCTGAAGTGTTAAAGTTAGTACATTAATAGTAAAACATTCCAATAGGTGATGGATCTATGACTCAATACATAACACATTTGCCATAGAGATACAACGATCAGAGTTCAACAGAACACATCTAAATGGATATAGCAATTAACACGTCATTTCAGTTCAAGGTTAGCAATGAAGAAATGCTGAGCAAGTTGCTTGCTCAACTAATCTGTATGCATGGGCTCTAGAATCAGTTGAGAAGCTCTCAATGAATAAGGTGGATAGAGAAAAGTACCTCCAAATTAATCTTGGTTCTTCACAGATGTAAGCATGTGCTTCTGTATACATACATGTGTCAACATAATTATGAACACAAAATCAAAAGCATTACACACGTACATAAAAATAATAATTTAATAAAATATTCCAAAAGAGATCAGCCCAACTAAATCTCAAGCAAAACTTGTTGTACTTTGATTGCTCTGGATTCCATTATATTTAACTTCTCTTTTTAAAGTAAATATAATCTTTTATAATGTCCTATCTTCATATTCCACTGTAAAATGGAATCTTAAATTAGTAAGTCTTCATAACAATCATCCAGAAGCTAAATACTTAATAATTTTGCAAAAGTAAAAACATATAATTACACTTCATTCTGAGTTCTTTCAACTCAAGACTCCCTTACAAACTGTAAAAATGATCAGAGTACACAATGTTCTAGTTTATTAAAAATAAATTATCTGAAACATTTTGGCATATTTTCATTCTCGATATCTCTCTTGAGAAATTATACCTCAATCTGTGGAAAACAATGTCTTTTTTAAAGATTCATTTGTGGTTGTAAACTGTAATGGATTGAGTAACCATTCGCAGCTCTCATGCAAAAATGCCAAAAATCAGATGGTTGGCTTTAATGCAACTGTGTCTTCTTTGAAACTCTTGCATGATTATTGAAAGGGGCTTATTGTGTCCACATGATAAAATTTCATCAAAGTACCTCTATTAAAATAAAACGCAGAATTCACTTGATGTCTGTAATCCAGTAACACAAAAAGTCAGTGAGTTCTACCTATATTTTAATGTGTATTATATCACCCTATAAAATGATGTGATTTTGTTGAAAAACTGTTTAAAACAAAAATTTAAACAACATTTAAAACAGGTGTGCTATTATAACTTAGTTCAATATTTTCCATAACTAAAGGTAATATCTTCACTTTAATGAAATGTGGTATTTGTTGTTGTTTTTCTTGGACATTTAAAAGGAGATCCATCTGGCTATGGGCAGAAATGTTACTATGACGTCTGTCTGACAGTGTAACTATGCTTGAAAAATGAGTTAGATTAAGCTAGGTACAAGCGAGCCAGACTGACTTTATAAGGACATATAGAGAAAACCTTTTCCCATCATGATACTGCACAAAACTTATACACAGACTTATTCAGTCACCGAAACCTACACAAGAGAAAAGACAGTGGGAAGAGCTGTCACAGTTGTTATTAATGATGAGATCTTTATCTGCTTAGTGATGGGCTGTTGTCCAATTATTTTCCATGGCTCTCAAGGTCTGCATAAATTTGATAAAATTTTTCTTGTTTCCATTGTGATTTTTTTTCTGGGGCTCTTTGCTGGGCAATCCTCCAGAATGGCAAGCTCATGTAGATTTTAAAATACCCTCTCCATATATCACCCACACTTGTCCTGCTTGGGGATGGATTGATGTCTGAGCTCAGACAGCTGTAGCTAAGTTGCTTATCTCAGTGAAAAAAGAAAGTTCAGGTTTCTTCAGCGATAGAAGGGGGTCCATTCTCCTCGGTGAGTTTTAATTACTTCCACTGCATCCAGTGAGGTAAGCACATGCTCAACAATTACAATAAAGGTGCCCAAAAAGGACACCTTTTCCAAAGAGCAGGGCCAAAGTCATTCTTCTCTCTTTATATATTATGCAACTTTTCTGCATATATAAAGTGTGATAATGAGAGTTATTAGTCTTTCCGGTTCAAGCAATAAACAACTGATAGACTGACTTATCACTGATCTTTAAAATTTAGATATTCAGCCTATTGGTCATTTTCAGTTCTTATCAATTAGTGTTTTTAAACAATAGTTTATGACCTCTAAAATTAGCACAGCTATTCCATAGACCTTGAGATATATGTTTTTCTAAAAGCAAAGATTTCTGAATGGTGATAGAGAAGATGGGTGAGAGTCTCAACTACCGTGGTCCTAACCATGGACAAAAACTAATCTACTTCATTCCACCTAGTGTTAGTTACAGGTATTATCACAAGGTTAATGAAATCTAAGTCCCAGAACTGCAGTATAGGATAGCCCTAGAGGCAATATTTAAGTTGCAAGTTACTCTCTGTTAAAACTCCAACAACCTCAGTTAAAAAGAAAGCAATATTCCTTTCATAGAATTAAAGAGTTGGCTAAAATCAAATACTGACTGTAAAGCAAAACCTAAGTCCTAGGCCTCTTGGTTTCCAAACCACTGACTTCACCCCTCAAATCATACTTATAGTCCAAGTCAATCCTTATTTACTAAAAAAAAACAGCCACAAAAATGTCCTTAAGCAGATGACCACAACAATCTTTTCTTAAGTAACAACCTCACTGTTTCAACAATGATCAACACAGATTTACCCAAGCTTATATTTTCGCATTTATCATTAATTACTGCTCACAATTTACATTCATTGGCAAACCTGGAAAAACACTTAAACATTGTTCTGTTGTTGCTATGTTCTGGCAAATGTGTCTGAAAATGATTGAAATGTATATCTATCAATGTCAACTGGTAGGGAAGAGGTCAGGTTTCAAAATCGTCCTTGCTCTGCCAAAGAGCAAAGGGTGTGAGAAGACAATTTGATAAGCCAGAATGAGAGGGCTTTGATTTTCCAACTTCCTCATATGTATAATGGTCTAATGAAAGCATCAACATTATATAGAAATTTGGAGATTAAACTCACTAATATATCTCTGCTGTGCATGCTCTTATTGCCACTGTGATTATTACTTTTTAAAGATGAGCAATGATAAACTATTTTCAAGACCGCAGCTATATTTTGTTCACAATCGCCTGTGCTCTATAAAGGATACATTCCTTTTAATAAAACATTTCCTGCAAAATTGCATCCAAGGCGTTTCCTGAGTTGAATCGAAAGCTGTGAGCAATAGGATTAGAGCATTAAAAATGTATTGTATAGAAATCACCTTATACAGTTTGAACTAAACATAATTGCTGATCAAGGTGTTAAAACTTAGAAGTGTAAAGTGAAACATTTTTCACATATCTCCTCTATAGGTAACTAACTTCTCCTACCCTCAGGTTTTGTGTGTAGGAAAAAAATACACTGCACTAATTTCCCTAAAATCTGCCAGTCACAAAGCTCTAACTCTTGATTTGCTATTTTAAGGGACATTATATGCTATGAAATATAAATAAATAAGTGTTCTATATTTTCTTTCCCCTTCAGATGATAGACTGCTCATCATTTGTGTTTTGGTAACATTTTTATGTCTCCCTAAATGCAAGGACTTCCAGTAGAATAATGTAGTGATTTAGCATAAAATATGGAATTGTTGAAAGCAAAAGGCAAGAATCTATCTAAAAATTAAATCAGAAGTGTAAAAGCTATTTGTTTTAATGATGAGCTTTCTATGGAGTTTAGGTTAATAGGAAATAAGTTCACACTAACGCATGTTGAGAAAAATATCCCTGCCAACACAGTGTGTGCACAGTTGAAGTCTAATTCTTTGGAG